AAAAAATTACCAAAAGCATATCCCACCCCAAGAAAGTAAAAAAAAATGCTTTCAGATTTAAAAAGGCAACCTCGAATAAGGTTTTCTCTTCTTGAAGCAGTCGAGGAATCCAGGTACCCTCATTCAGAAGCATATAAGTAAAGCTACTTCAGATGCTAGCATAAAGGAAGAGATAATCCACTCATTACCCCTAATAAGGGGCTGGGCTACAGTGAGGACACTACCTTCAGGATCAAACACTGAAAACTGTTTTAAAAGGGCACTGAAAATACCCCATGAGGGATTGCAAAGGAGCTGTAATTAGGATGACTACAGTATGAGAAGTGCAGGCCTTGACCCTATTTTCTGATTTTATTTTTTTCTTTGCAAGAGGTAAGCCACAGCACTGTACATTCCTGGAGTTTCCCAAGTCCACTAAAAATAAAGGCAAATTGGACTGCATCTGTGTGGCCTGTTATAAGCTACCATCGTTAGTGATGCACAATGAATTGGGAGGCTGGGGTAATGCCAGCCACCAGGAGAACTAGAAAGGACAAGCAAAGTTTCCCTCTAATGCCAGAGGTAAAGAGATGGAACTACTCACTCAGATAGAGCTGCTATAAGAAAGGTTTTGACTGCTGAGCATGGGAGTTCTCAAACAAGGTTGTTTTGCTCATACGCAAATCCAGAGCTCAAGGACTAGGGCAGTATGAGTTTGAGTTGACCCAGTTATGGGCAGAAGAACAAATTGCCCAGTTCAACCTGTGGGACAGCAGATTATTTACTATTGGGCAAATTCTGCTGCAAATTCAGAGGTCAAATCTCTCCCACAGTAACAGAAAATATAGCTGCTTTCACATTGCAGTAGCTGAGAAGTAATGTATCACCTTTTCAAGTGAGGGAGAAACTACTCCAAGGTACCTTGTTTCTACTGACAGATATACAGGAGCATACACCCCTTTTCCACCATAACAAGACACCTGTTATCCTGCAATAGCTTATTCACTTGTCCATAGTCCAGTTAAATCCCCCCCATACACACTTCAGAGAGCTTCTGATCCACAGGTTTTAATTACAAAAAGTAGGCATTGTCACGCACCTCTAACCTCTTACTTGCCTGTTGTATGTTCCAGTCACTACAACTTTTTTGAGGCAGCTTTGTTAGTTCTTAGTAGTCTGGACCTAACTGTCCACAGCACACACATTCTCCAGTTCCTTGTAGCATAGCAGGTTGCTCAGTTTGAGCTACAACTATCTATATGCAAGTCTCCTTACCTCGATTATGCTGCAAGAGGACAATAGTGGGATTGACGATTGTGGTAGAAGGATAGGCAGAGGCAGATTTGCTGATTGAAGTGATGGAGGTTGGATAGTCAGTGCCAGTGCCAGGCTGGGGCACTTCATTTAGCACAGGACCTGGGTCCTGAAAAGAAGAGCAACACATCATTAGTAACCTGCAGAAGGCTGCTACACTGGGAAAATCTGGGGAAAATCCCAACCTTTTAAGCTGAAAGAGAAGCATAATCACAGCAAATTTTAGTATAAAAAGCATAAGCACGAGTGGTTACCCTGCTCCTTGTACATACCCTGCTTGTTGTTAATGGAATTAGTTTGCTAAGGCGGTACTATAATTATTTGGTGTTGGGTTTCACAACTCCAACTCCAAAAGAGGGCACTAAATTCATCTAGCAGAATCTTTGGAGCAAACACTAGGTGACAGAAATGAGCAAATCTGGTTGGGGGAGAAGATGCAGACATCTTCCCCCTGATACATAGGCACAAATATTTTTGTTCCAAAAGTATCCCTTTCATAGCAAGTCAGACATGCAAAACTCATGCAGTTCTGGAGTAAAACATTATTACTGCAGATGGTTTGGTAAGGAAAGTCTGAGAAATTAAGTTAGCATCATCACTCAGGAGACAGTGTGATAACCTACCTGATTAAAAAAATGATATAACAAAGCCCCAAAACTGATAGAGGGTATAAGGTAGGACTCTAGCAAGGGAGATACTTAACGTGGCTTTGCTGCTGGAGCACAGATACCAATCTGTTCTTGCTCTCCTAAAGCATCCAGCTCCATTATTTGCTTGTTTCAAACCCACCTCTGATATCGCCACAGCTCTCACTACTCTGTAGAAATACAGGTTGTGTCAGCAGGGAGACTTTGAAAGCTAGCTCATCTTTGAAAAACCTCAGTCCAGGGATACTGGGCTTTGGGTGGTGGTAAGGGGAAAAAATAAAGAAGGGATGATGACTAAGACCGTGTGTGTGTGTGTGCCAGTTTAGACTGAGATTGTTCAAAGCTTCTTAAGGAATTTGGACAAACAATTACTGTTAATGGGGAATGAGCATCCAAACAAAGAGAGTATGGAACAGTGGACCAAATTCCTGCACTCCTGCTGCTCCACTGTCAGACCGAAATGCTGCAAGTCACTGATCTGTAAAATCAGCTGAGCATTCAATAGTACTTTCATCACTATTAAAAAAAAACCCCTGAATATGCACAGAATATTGTTCCAGAAAAATCCCTACTTCTGGCTTTTCTGGCCAAGTGCAACTGCAACTCAGTGCCCTTCAAACCCACCAGCATCAGAGGAAAGGACTTACAGCATCAAGCAGGGGGTTGAACAGGGGCCAGAGTGAGGTCTGGCACCAGAGCTCAGAGATAAATCATAGTGAGAATTGGCCATACTCAGAACAAGAATCTACAGTCTCTCCAACCTAGAGGGGAAATGGGGAAAAACAATCTTGTTTTGTCGGATGAAGGTGATCTTGGTCCAAGCAGCATCTGGTCAGGCCACAGACATTTCATGGGGACAGAAAAGCATCAGTGTTCTTCAGAAATATGTGTTCCCAAGAAAAAGACCCAGCCCCATTTTGCTGACTGTGATAATATTCCAAACAGTGCAATTACGAAAAAGGAGCAAGAGGCAGGGAGAAGTATGAGAATTGGGTTTGAGTTTCACTTTGATAACTAAAATACAAACAGAAATCCCTCAAAGAAGAGGGATGCTGGTTCAGGATAGGCTCAGGAGCCTCAGAAAAGTCACCAGAGTGGGTAAACAAAGACCATTTATATCATTGTGGAAAACAGTTCTGTGACCACATGCCTGAATTGAGTATGTCCAAAAACGTTTCAAAACTCTCATCTCAAGAAAGTCAGGTAAACCAAAATTTCCAGTACTCCTCTATGATTTGGATGCCTCTTGATTTTTTTTCTGGAGCCTGCAGATAGGCTCCATTTAAAATACAAACAAACAAAAAACCCCAATCAAAAATGAAACACCAAACCCAAACTTTGATTACTCTCTGCAATAAAATCCCCATCGATTTTAACAAAAGTAGAAAGGCCAATGCTGAGAACTTTTGAAAATATCCTCAGTTGATTTTTCCTTTCCCCCCTCCACATGCCTGTTTGCTAGACCCCTACAGAGCCAGAGGGCAGACCAAACATCATCATGAGAGAAGGGGATTTCTGCTGAACTTCTTCCTTGCCCTTACAAGCAAGCATATTAAAAAAAAAAACCGGTGGTTTCAAGACTTCCAGTGCAAGAAAGATTGTGTACTTTTTGCCTCCTCTGCAACTTTAACTGAGAGCTACTTTTCCTCCTTGTCCCTGAGGACTTTTTGAAATAGTTGATGTGTTGAAAGCAGAACAAAACCTAACTCAAGAAGAACACAGTAAATTCCAAGTGTTGTGGACTGAATTCTTCAAAATTTTCAAAGACAAGCAATTCCAAAATGAAGACATACCCTCTGCCTAATCTATCCCACAGCACCTACATGCTTGGAAGATACTTAGCTCAGTAACTTATAACTTGTAGGTCATTGGATACTGGCAGCAATCTTACACTGATCTCGTCAGGGATTTGTGTAGACACCATATGGTCTTGTGGCTCCAAGTGGAACAGAAAGCCAGCCCTAACCTTTAACTGGTCTGCTGTTTCTGCTTTAAATGTTACTCAAACACAATTAAGGATGCTATTAAAAGAGCCTGAAGAGATCTGTTAGTTGCAGCTATTCAGTTTATACAGAACCCATTATTCTGAGCAAATCCTGTGAAGACTCTTATGGTGTGCTTCACCTGGCAGAACAGGCACAAAGGGAGCCAGTCAAATGTTGCAAGAAGTCAATAGAAAGTTCAAAGCTGCACAAGGCAGGCAAAATGCATGCACTAGCACAGGACACAAACAAGGTTTCAGTTGTCATGCTGCTGGCAGGGAGTGAGTCATCGCTCCTCTCTCAAGTTTAGTATTGCAAGGAGAAAGTCATTTTAATCTGGGAATACAAATTTAGGAAAAGGGCGAGGAGGGTACTTGGCAAGCTTACTGTATGTGAGATGACTCCAGTGATTTCAGGCTTCAAGCCCCTGTGCAAAGCCCCTGTGACTGGAGGGACAAGTGAAGGTGGTGATGAGAAGAATGGCAGTTTCGGGTAAACAGAGGGTAATGTGCCAGATGTGGAAGGTGCTTGGTTATGGTGGGAGCCCCTCTGGAGATGTGGGGGAATGAAATCGTCTAGAGTTGGAAAAGTCAGGGGTGAGCCAGGAGAAACAATCTCAGGGAATACGGAGCCTTGCCCAAAAGGAACCAGAGGCGGTGGTGGAGTGCTGGAGCTGCTTTCTTGTTGTCTGTCTGGATTAACCTGGAGGAGGGGGACTACTATAACTCCAGGTTGAGCTGTGGTGGTGGCAGTGGCATCCTGTAGGAAACAAGGTGTTGTTATGCAACGGGGGAGGATTGATACTTTAGTCGAATGCAGCCATATAGTGTCATGCAAGGAATGTACCCAAAATGATACAAAGCCCCACCAGATTTTCTTTCCTTAGGGAGACATTCAGGCTTGCAGCCCTGGCCCCTATGAACATATGTTTTTCCACAAAAATCTTCATTCCCCTCACCACCCTTCTCCCATTCTGTGTAGAAAACCACAGAACAGCTCTGCATTCACCATCACTTGAGAAGCACTAGCCATCCCCGTACAGAGTTTGCTTCTTTTACACCTTCCTAAAATAGAAAGATCCTCACCAGCCCAACCCAACTCCCTACAAACACCACACACACACAAACACACAGATCAACGTTGAAGGGGCACACATGGGGCGTTAAATATTATCGAGTAGAAGATCACAAGACTCAGGCGGCACAAGAAGTGCTCAGAAATTAGGTAGGAGGGGAATAAAGCATTAAGGGAACATTGTAATGAATTAAAGAACTGTTTGCACGGCTGAAAGAAAACAAGGTTATGGAGAAAACATGTACCATGCTGCGTCCCATTGCCTTGTATGGTGGTTGTCGCTGCTGAGTAAGGTAAGGCTCTTTTCTCATCCTGTCCTCTGTGGCAGTTGTGCTCTGGGGCTCTAGCACTCTGTCCCTCACAGCTTGCAGAGCTGGCAACTGAGTCCGGGAGGGTTGGCTCGCACCATAACTAACTGCGTCTTTGCTGAGGACAATGTAAAAGGATGGCCTGGGAGGAATAGGAGGAGGAGGAGCAGCAGGAAGAGGCTTTTCAGTGTCTGTTACAGAGGAAACAATGTTGGTGGCTGGTGCCTGAGTGAGCTCAGCGCCCAAACTGGTGCTGGCTGCTGGGTCATGTGTGGTGCCAGCGGAATTTTGAGATGCGGCTGAGCAAGTGCTGTTAGATAAACAAGCTACATATAGTTTGCTGACCTTTTTATCCGCCTTCGTCTCATGACTGGAATTCATTCCAGCCTTACTACTGGGATCTGCCCTGTCAGGGTTGTGTTGTATGGATGATGCACCCGACGAGGAGCGACTTTCCAAGAGTGGCTGCCCAGCATGCAGCTCGTCTTTGGGGCCTGAAGAGGGAGAATGCCCTGCTGGCAAGCCTTGCTTCCCACTGGGGACGGCCCCATAGGGGGTAGGTGATGACAAATAACACCGTGCACTGGTGTTTGGTGATGCACGCTGAGTATAAGGCTTGGGTGCATTCAGGTACACGCAGTCCATGATGGGCACTGGCAACAGGTTGGTCGCTTTAGTGTCAGTGCGGGGACGCCATGCAAAGCTTTCCTCTTTGGGAAGAGGAGGACGGGGAGGAGCAAGGGCCTGCCAAGGCAGAATCAAGGAGGTAGAAAAGGAGAAAGGAAGCACCATCAAATGAAAGGAAAAAGGAAGGAAAAAAAATTAAATTCTAAGAATGAATTTGATCATTAGACTTGGGTTAAGCAGGTTTTAATACAGCAAGAATAAAAAGCAAATACAGTATCTGGAAGGCCAGTGCAGAACTCACTCACATACATCGTCTCATGCATTCTCTTTCTTAGCACAGCTCACTGCAGCACACAAACTTTACCCATCTCTCAAGTCTCTGCCTACATGTTTCTCTCTCCAGGCAAAATAAATCTCAATACTGTATTGTTTTAACAGACCTGAACAGCAACACCCACCATGCCCCTGGGAAAGCCCAAGTCAAGATCTAACATCATGGCTAACTAAACTCAGGCTCATGCTTGTATAACTAAATACTTCCCAGCACTGGGGACGTTTGAATCGCAAAGCCAAATTCAGAGCTCTAGGCCATGTCTGCATGTTAAGTGCACTGCTGAAAAACGAACATTGTGAAGTTTCACCAGTGCTAATGAAAGCAGACATCATGTGAATACTGCAGCCTACAGTATTCACTGAGACTGGATGTGGCACTTAGTGCCATGGTCTAGTAACCACGGTGGTAGTGGATCAAGGGTTGGACTTGATAATCTCGGAGGTCCTTTCCAACCCGGCTGACTCTATTCTATTCTATGATTCTATTCTACCACAGCTGGCTAAGTATAAAGTCAGCATTTCTTCCTTCCAAAGCCTAGCTCCTCAATTCTCTTCAGCATTTTTCCATCCTGAAAATGCTTTTGGGAAGTCCGGAACAATTAAAGTTTCTTGAGGAACTGAGTTCATCAGAATTTGCCTCCAGAATCAAGATCACCAACAGAGAAATCCTGCTGCTAGTAAATAATAAGAAAAGCTTTACTGGTTTTGGTACTTAGCAACACATAGCTTGCTAACTCCAAATTGCCTGCTGACTGCAATTCCAATTACAATGATTTTTTTTTCTGAGAAAAAAAACCTGAGAATGGAGATGTCTTAACAGTTTGCAAGATTCAAATCTGAAAAGCAACATCCCTTAAAATTCATCAACATATGACAAGTTGTGGCCAGCAACTATTCTTGTTACATGAATATAGATGTAGAAAAGTTTCAAAACATTACAGCTGCTGTCCCAAAATCTACTGTCCTCACACTGCCCCTGTGCCCCTTCCCACCTTCCTTGATGCATTAAGAAGTACAGAAGAGGGTTGGGTAAGTGCTCTTCTGAAGGGTTTCTGCCTCTGAACAGGCTCATTATTTCTGGAATTTCTTCCATTTCAGCTTAGTTTGAACAGCAGTTCTTGAGACTTCTATAACAAGTACTATGTGTACGAGTGCTCCCTCTGTTCAACAAAATCAGGAAGGGACTACAGGAGAGCTGTATGTATTGAGCAGAAATGGGTCTCTCTTTAGGGTGCTGCTCCTTCCCACACCTTCATTCGAACTGTACCTTCTTCCACTTTCACTTACGATTTCAGGAACGGTGTCTGGTCTGTAGCATTGCTTTAGGACCCTGATGATGGGAGCAGTCACGTTGATAGGGGGACAAGGCTTTAAAGGGACTCTGTTTCACACAAGAATGCAGTCTCTAATGAAAGGTTTCCTTACAAGCTTTAAGACTGCTTCTGTGTAGACTGAGCATGCAAAAGCATGAACTTACACTTCTCTTAACAGATTGACTTCAACAATTTACCTTCAGGTACAAGTAACCTTTCCCTTGTTGGCTTGTATCAGTTACAGTGTTAAAACTGAAAGACATTCTCAATATATTATTTTTGATGTAGGGTGCAACTCTGATTTCAGCATGCAGCAACCTCTAGGAAATAAAACCAACACAAAATACAAAATAGTTACAGATGACTACTTCACCTTTTTCTTTTGAACAACTAGCGTTGTCTTCCTCTTTAATCCACCAAGGAAACACTATGGTGTGCCTGAATACACAAGCTCCACAACACTTTGCTGACGTAAGGGTTGCCCCCATTTTAAAGGTACAAAAAGCTGAGGCATAGCAACTTACCCATCTGCAGCCAAGTCTGGAGTTCAGCCCAGGACTCCTGACCATGAATCCAGCGCTTGAACCCAGATGATCACCCTCAGGGTCACAGAAGAAAGGCTTACCTGTGGCTTGCTATCTGAAGAAAGGTTTGGACGCACACTCCTATAACCCTTGGCAGCCAGAGAAGATGGTTGGGCATCCCCATTGGTATCAGTGTTAGACGACAACCTCCAATCATCTATGACGGGAAAGAAAACTCAGATCACAGAAGATTCCTTCCAGCTACAGGATAAGTGAAAGGAGAGGACTCTTTTCTTCCTTCTTTTTTTCCATTTTTTTCCCCAGGCAACAAGAAATAATTCCAATAATGCAGCAGAAGTAACAGCATAAGCAGACAATGTTTGTACCTGTTTCTGAGTTTTCTGGCTCCAGACCTAAGCATTTCACAGAAAGAAGGGACAGAGGAGGTGGGGGTGGAGGATAGGCAGAGAGGGAAAGAAAGAGGAAAAAAATAAACCATTACATTTACAGAAAACATGTACCAATTGCAGTTAAGAGTCAAGCTACTTCATTTCACACATAAAATGCTTTCTGACAGGGCAGTCTAATTACCATAGAGACCGTCCCTAAACATGATGCCCTCCTTGTTTCTGACCTTTGTAAACACAAGGCAATTCATTCAGAGCAATGAAGAAACAATTGTTCACTGACATTCTTATTTCAGAGGCAAAAAGGCAGCCCAGCTTGCTACTTTTTAAAGCTGCAGCTTGACATCCGGACACCGCAAATTACTGGAAATGTGGGGACCCTGTATTCAGCCATGATACAGATTATGAAGACACATATATCCTTATCAACATCACTATATATGATTGAGATAAAGGACTGCCAACAAACAGATCAGGTTTGCAGGCTAAGTGCATGAGGGGAGTTATAAGATACGATGTCACTTTACAACGCAGTCCCTGCAGCTACATGCAGCAGTCTCATCACATATTTACCCACCTCCCACTGGGCTCCTCCCTACCCCTCATTTTGCTGTTTAAGTTATATGCAAAAAGCTTTTCCAGCTCCGAAGTACATTTCATAAAGCAATTGAGAGAGTAAGCAAAGGAAGTATTAACGAGCTGATTTCCATAGTAATGGGCTCATTGCCATTCAAGCTGTTGGAAATTTATGAAGCCATCAACAGAAAGGAGAGAGGCAACAGTGGGGGGTAAGAGTGAAGAAACAGAGAATGGCAAGCATAAAAAGGGGGTAGGGTCATGGGTGGGGCAGAATAGGAGAAGACAGAGCAGAAATCGGACATTGTGGCTGGAATTAATGGAATTGCCCTTTCACCAACAATACAGTCAGAAACGATGTATGCTTTGCTTTCAAGAGCAAGTTTTACCCCCTCCCCCTTAACGGCATCTTGCCTTTGGGAGTTCATCCTCTCTGCCAGACCCACGACACTGGCCAGGTTTGTTATGCTTTGCCTGTCTCCTACAATTAAGTAATTACACGTCTCTCTATTGAAAGATGGCAGAGCTCTGTGGCGACACTGTCTGTCTGGGACGCTATCCCTGCTCCCCTGACAACCCAACTGAATGCTGTGGGGGCAGTAGCACCACTCAGCTTCTTTCTGTTCCACCTCACACCTGGAATAAAAGGAGGTGACACGGGCCAGCCAGGAGAAAAAATAATAAAAAAGAGAGATTCTGGCAGTCATGACAAACTTAAGCCAATGACTGAGTGGTCACGAAACCTGCACTAGGAAAAAACCACAAGTCAGTCTCCCTCTACTGGTCTGGGTTTTGCAAGAGGTTTCCAACTATGCTACAGAATTTTGGGCTTTAAACTATAGTTAAACAGTCACCCCAAGACCCCGGACTGACCTGTCTTAAGGTTACTGTAAGTAACATATTCCAGTTAACCTTCCACCCACTTACTTGCAGGTTGCTCAACATCCTGAGGACATGGTGAAGTGATATTCCGATTCCCTTCATAGGCTGGAGTTGCCCGGAGGGTTACAGCTCCTTTTCCACTGCAGACTTTAGTGGGATCCGTTTCTACAGGAAATGCACATGCATAGAGGAGACACACAGAAAGGGATGATACAAAACTATTAGAAGCCATCAGAGTTCTAGAGTAATTTTAGCATGGCTGCCTCCAGGTGAATCAATCTAGTAATGTTTGTGCAGATGAACATTAGCTCTGTATTTAAAGCATTGAGAAATCAAAGCAGTTTCATATTCATGTAATTGATGAATGTAGCATTAAGTTCAGAGTTGGAGCAACAGATCTAAGAAAGGAGGAACAAAGGATGAATGTTTGAACCAGATGTCACAGGTCCATTGGCTTTATTTGTTCTGCTTTGCATGGAGACACTGTGCTAGCAAGGACAGTCTATCATTACACCTGTGGCTCCTCTATAGGGGATGTCCCAGTGGTATAATGCAATACGATTTTTGTGCTGAAGCTTAAAATTGCCTTTTGTGGAGGACTGAAAGAGAAAAAAAAAGACTTATGACCACTGAAAAACAAAATCTTGTAGCTATGCTGAATATGATCTAAAGGCAGGGCACTGCAAGCCACCTCCTTGCTATCTCCTCATTTCATGGCAGTGTTTCATCTTCTGACACAGGAACCCAACTCTCAAAACCTAGAAGGAGATTCAACATATACCTGTTCAGATCAACCAGCAAACCAGATACCAGATCATACCAGTGTCCTTGCTGAGGCACAGTTCAGCACAGTTTCTGTGCAGGCTTACCTTTGTGCATTTCAGTCCATGGATTTGGGTTTTCTCCTCCTGTCATCCTATTAAGTAATAACAAACCAGTACTTCAAGGCTATCTTTCTCTCCCCTACTTAAAATCTTTCTGGGAAGTTGTTTCCTTTCAGATACCTATAGAAAAAATAAGCCTAAAGAAACTCTCACTTCTCTAAGCTACCTCCAGAGAAAAACACATCAGCTCCTCTTCTCATGCACTCTTAGTAATCCAGCAGCTGCCATCAGACTTCACTTTGACCTACCTACCTAGAGATACCTACTATGACACTGCACAGGGAGCATGAAGAGGGACTAAGCACATGTTGCATTACACAAGTGACGACACAACGATTTTTATTTTTATAAGGTAAGGATCATGCTACCTCTGCATGGGGAGGGATACAGCTCCTCTCCAGACCCATATTTAGGACTCTGGAAAGGATGGAGTAAGTAAGAAATCAGAGGATACTTTACTACAATTCAGCCTCTAGTTAACTTAGGCAGCATTGATGCAGCCTCTGTAAGGGGAAAGACTATCCACACAGACATATCAAAAGCCGCTTAATCCTTAAATATGACACATTTGCACTCACACCACACACCTGATCACAACCTAAGATAGCCCTTCTGCCTTGTGAAATAGAAGTTGACTTCAACTCATTTTCACATGATTCAGAAAGGGTCCAGTTCTTTGTGCCCAAGAGTGCAGTTCTGGCTATCACTTCCATCTGCGCTGCAAAACATGCAGCCCAAGGACTCTACAGACTCACTTTCAAATCACAGGACAAAGGTTTAAGTTCCAAGACTCCAGTTTTAAGAGTGCTGGAACTCTAAGGTATGGACACACTGTTGGGAGTCATTGGGCCTAATTCAGAGTGCAAAGTAGCTGTTCTACTACCCTATGCCTATATTCCCTTCACAGGCACTGGAGAGAAACAGAAACACTGAGAGTTCAACATGTCATATATGTCTAAATATCTTCTTCATCATATTGGAGCAGAATCAAATTTGGGAATCCATGCATTTTTTTTATTTTTCATACAACATATTAAACCTGTATACTGAACCAAAAGAATAAGAATCAGAAAAAAATGCTCTGAACTAAAAAAAAAAAAAAAAGTTTTGAAAATAAAATCTTGCCAGACTATTTCATCTTGGGAGATGCAGACAAATACCTAAGATGTTGAATTCCTTCACAATTTAGGTGAAATGACAGGAAACAGAAATCTGAATATCTCAGCACAGAAATCCAGGAAATGGTAATAAACAGGACATTAGCACTGCACTAGTCCAACAAAGCACATGTGTAACAAATTAGGAGACAAGCAGTATCAGCTAGACTAGTCTGATTATCCAAATCCAGGAAAGTACAAGAATAATCTTGTACTTTTAGTGTGCAAGCATGTGCTTGTGGAGGGGTGACAGGCAGCCTAACATCCTTATTTATTCATATGAAGATTAAATTCAGTGTATGTACAGAAAAACAAAACCATCCCACCAACATCGAACTGCGCTTGAACCATTTATTTTCATAAAGACCAAAGATATGCAGGAAACATTCTTTGGTTCATCAGGAGTTTGGTTCAAAATGAGTCTTTAATAATAGTATTTTTCATAATCAAGCATTAGTAGAAGAGTTTACAATGATCCCAGATTCAAGCAGACACAATTATGTCTGCAGAGGAGCAGCATAATTGAGAACAGTGCATTTGTGCCATCAAGAGCTAACTGCATTACCTACTGATGAAATCCACAGCTCTGGGAGGAGTGAGAAGAGGATGAAGCTGAGAACTAGCCAAAGCATGTGGGTGAAGCAGAGAGACAGAGAAAGAGAGAGAGGAGAGAGAGAATGATGGCCAACTAATGCGTGGCGGGGGAGGAAGAAAGAAGATACCTGTAGGCAGCACTAGGTGAGGAGAACTTTTCACTTTCTTCACAGGGATTATTTTAACGGCAGAAATAGAGCGTGTACATAAAGGGACGCCAACAGCTGCAAACACAAAAGTGTAAATGGCACATCCAAAAAGGGAAGAACAGAGTTTGGGAAGCATGCCACAAAATCTTCTAATGTACTTGGAGACACAATAGCAGGAAATTTCAAATACAAAAGCAGTCTACAGAGCAATGATGCAACCGTTAAAAATATCCCTTCGTTCGCCTTCAGGATGTGTCTGTTTTATGCAGCATACAGAACTGCTTACTGAATGGACTAACTGCTGACTGCCATGATGCTGCTGGTGAAAAGAATCTGGAAGCATTAGTTTTTAGAAGCCATCAAAAAATTTTAGTGTAGTCATTTAACTGAGGTACACTACATGCAAAAATAAAAATGTTAAGTACAACATTAATATGGTTCAGTTAAAACAAAATAAAGTGAAAAAACAAGGACTGAAAGGTTGAGAGAAGAACATTACATGAATTCTGAATTTTATGGCAC